GAGAGGGAGGATGAGGCAATTTGTGCCCCCATGTTGCTCCATTGCCAATCCTAGCTATGTTTCATTTCCCCCGATTATATAATATTTTAACAATAAATAGGTAAAGCAGTTGAACAATGATTTAAATCAATGCATATATTTGTAACTTCTATTTAACATAAAATTACCTACAAGCCTACAAGCACACAAACAAAGAAATCAAAGAAAATAAACTTAAATGTAAAAAGAATAAAAGACAATTAAAAGCAAGTATCCAACTAATATGTGCAAGTACATGCTTAACCCACAAATAGAGAAAATTTCATAGCATTGTTTGTAAAGTTTGGCTCAAATATTATTTTTGTCCCAACAATCTCAAACGTCACACATGTCCTCAAACTTCAAATTTGTATAAAACACTCCTTCCATCCACTAACTCTTTCATGCCAACTAGAAGTTACAGCTAAGCAACAGGTGTTACCAATTGTGAGCTAACAACTTATTCAACTATTAGATTGATGAAAGAATTTTTTCAATAAGAATTAAAAGTTTGAGTACAAAAAATGTGGCATTTTAAACGATTAGGATGAATATATATTTGAGTTAAGTTCTAGGGACAACACAAGCAATTTACTCTACAAAAAGTAACGGCAGATGAAGTAACAGGTTTAAAATCTATCATCAAAGAAGATTGAAAGGAAACTTACTTTCCAAAGAAGTTGTAAAACATCAGCATCGATCTTCCCTGGAACTTTAGTAGCAAAGATCCTGGCAAGTTCAAGAAGAGTGACAGCCATATCTGGTGTCGCCTGGTAAAGCAGTGAATTAAAACATTAAATGTACCATACCATCATCTTCTGTTTATGCATTAGTACCAAACCTAAATGAGCTCAAAGTTTTAGGGGCACAGCACAACATGTGCACTAAAAAATCAATTGAATTTTAATTTCTAAACCACTTTTTGGATTATGTAACAGGTTGTAACCCTGTCCAGCCCTTCATCCACCTCAAGCCAATGCATAAACTCAAATCTAGGACCTAAAACTTTTTTAATGGGGGTAGCTTCCTGAGACATTGTTGTGTAAAATCCAATTTCAGTCAACATCCTATGAAATTTCCAAAGGCACAGAAAGATTGAAAGTTTTACCTTTTTAAACGGTTTTTAAACAGTTTAAGTACAGACTTGATCCTCGTAATTTACAAATTTATGAATTTTGGTCCCTTTTCTTTTATTTCAATTAAGTCCATGGATTTCTATTAACAGTTAATTTTTATCCCTCAATCAATAAGCACCATTAAATTGATGAGATGAATTATCGAATTGATAACATGGGAAGTTACATGTCTTTTTTTTTTTTTTCAAAAAGAAACATTGCACATCAATTCAGAAGAATGTTTTTAAAATAATACTAAAATTTGTTTGCAAGTTCTACAGTTAGGTTGATGTGTCACATGTCCAATTGGCCACAAAAGAATCTCATAATTCATTAGATACTTTTTATGAATATCAACCAAGTATCGTAAGTCAATTGGTCCTAGTTATTCAATCATTTGATAAGTAGAGTCATTCTTTGATAAATGATCACTCAAAATGACTAATGATCACTATGAGTCTGACTCAATAGAATTTGATCATTTTTTTTTTTTTGGTCATTGAGATGGATTACTAAACCAAGAATTCTCTTTCTTTACCATCCATAAATCACTGTTTGCAACCCAAGATTCTATTTTATCATCAATCCAATCACCGCTCACAATTTTTCTTTTCCTTGTCAATGAGTTGATCTCTTTAATTGTACAACTTAGATGTCTCATATTTTCTCAAATTGTTGTAACTTGTCATGTCAACATAAATGTAGCAATTCATCAATTTTATAGCCCATGTCATCAATTCTACAATCCATGTCATCAATTGAATGGTCCATGTCATCAATTTAATGGTGCTTATTGACAAAGGGACCAAAATCAACATTTAATTAAAATAAAAAGACTTAATTTGTTAAAATAGAGAACGAGGGACCAAAATCTACAATATTATTATGTGGACCAAATGCATACTTCAACCTTGGTAAGCCTTGTGCTTATGTGAGCCCAATGGCACAGAAATATTAACCAAGCTAGTCATTTCACATGTTTTTCATTACAATTCAATTTTACTCACCCTAACTTACTATTAGAAGAAGAGCATCTCTAGGGTTACATGTGACATACCATGGCCCATTCAGTTATAGAAAATATTTTCCATTTACCATCTCCTTTTTTACTCCAAATATATCAATAGCATAGGATAAGTATTTCAATTTTCCAAAATAGGAAAAAAAAAGTTTACTTAGTTAAACTAGTTGAAACAATTTAAAACAATTATCTAATTTTCTAGAAAATTGAAAAACAAGGGTTTCCAAACTTAGTTATTTAGTTACTCCATTGATCATATACACAGAATGGAGATGGAAAGTTAAAAAATATATTCAAACCAAACAAGCCCTTGGTTTTAGGATTTATCCCTTTTAGAAATAACCAAATTATTGTAATATTCTTTTAGAATTTGCTCCATTTTGAACCTAAGAGGGGATTTTTTTTCATTTAATTGTAAGAAATTTTAACTTGAATTTCAAAAAGAGAAATTCTATTCACAGCCACAATTTTGTTCCCTACAACCAAAAATTATAAGTGTGCTTCTAAATGCACCACAATTTTTACTCTTCACATCCTTTTTTTTTTTCAAATTTTTTTTAAATGAAATTACTTAAATACCCTTCTCAAGTTTTTGAATATTCATATTCGGTAACTTTTATGGCTTTTCAAAAATGCATTTCCAAAAAGTTTTATAACTTTTTGGAAATGAACACTTTTCGGAAATGCATTTTGGTAAGTATCAAGAGTAAAATTTTACCAAAACTTACAAAAAAAAATTGATTAAAATTTTTTTATGAATTAGTGTAAGGAAAAAAGTTATTATTAAAAAAAATCATAAATTTTAAAATTAATAAAAAATTTACTTTTACTATTTTGATTTTATAACCTTTTGGAAATGAACAATTTGCGGAAATGCATTTCCATAAATGTTAGGGGTAAAATTTTATGAAAAATTACCAAAAAATATTTATATTAAAATTTTTTATGAATTAGTGTAATGAAAAAAATTATTACTAGAAAAAATCATAAATTTTAAGATTAATAAAAAAAATTACATTTCTTATTTTGATTTTAAAGAGAATAAAAAAATTAAATTAAAGATAAAATAATAACTGTAATTTTTTATAAATTTAAATTTTATCATTTTTTAATTAATTTTTTTATCGATTATTAAAATTTTATTATAACTCTAACTAAATTGAACTCTTTAGAGAAATCTCTCCATCTACTTATTACTATGAGTTTCTTTAATTAGTATATTAGATTAATAAAATTGTGTAATATTCAATAATATTACTTGTACAATTTTAAAGAATTTCAGTTTTTATATGTTGATTAGATCTGATAGGGCTTTCATCATCCTTTGTAACATCGAGACATGAAATATTTAATTAGAACCTTATAAGATTTTATTATTTTTCTAAGATCAAAATAGTAAAAATAACTTTTTTATTAATTTAAAATTTTAAATTTTTTTTCTAATAATAACTTTCCATTACACTAATTCATAAAAACTTTTAATAAATTATTTTTTGGTAATTTTTTTTAAAATTTGACTCAAACATTTTTCATAAATGAATTTTCGAAAAAGTTATAAATATTAAAAAAACTTGTGAAAAGGATATTTAAGTAATTTCACTTACAAAAAATTAAAAAAAAATGGGATGTAAAGAGCAAAAATCTTGGCGAATTTAGTCCCTCTCATTTATAATTTTCATTACAAAATTACCCTTGAATCAAAATTACTTTATTATCCCCAATAAAATTACTTTGTAACCTTCACAACCCAACAACACCTAAACCATATATATTAGACTCCATCTTTTCTAGTTAGAGGATGCCAAAAAAGGAGGTAGTGAAAACAGAGATAAAAACAATGTTCTCTGTATTGGTTTTTTCAAAAAGAAATCCCCAACTATATAACAGACCTGATATATATAAAGAAACCCACAAAATCAAGACATAATCATCCAAACATAGAAAGAAATAAAAGATCAAAAATATAAATCGCAACAAATCAAGAAATTGATCCTGATTTGATACATAATCTGTCAACACTCCTCAAGTTGGAAAATAGCTATTTATCATTTTCACTTGCCAACAAGAGTCTCAAAGCTTGTTTTATGTAGTCCTTTTGTTAGGATACATGCTACTTGTTGTTTTGTAGGAACATAGGTCATATAGGTCACTCCCAAATCAATCATCTTTTTGATAAAATGCCTATCAACTTCCACATGCTTCGTTCAATCATGATGCACTAGATTATGAGCAATACTTATAGCAACCTTGTTATCACAATACAATTTCATAGGGTATTCAACTATCATCTTCAATTCTCCCAAAAGTCTCTTCAGCCAGATAAATTCACAAGTTCCTTATGCAAGAGGTCTAAATTCTTTTTTGAAACAAAATTCCTCTTCCAGAAGTACCCTTCAAATATTGTAGAATGCTGTGAACCACCTGTAGATGTTCCTCTTTTAGATCATGCATAAACTGACTGACCACACTCACTACATAGGCTATGCCAGGCCGAATATGAGAAAGGTAGATTAATCTCCCAACCAACCTTTAGTAAAGCCCTTTATCAACTCCCCCTTTGTTTTCTTAACCTAGCCTATGATTTGGATCAATAGGAATACTTGCAGCTTTACTCCCTATAATGCTTGTTTCTTTTAGCAAGTCTAGCACATATTTCCATTGAGACAAGAATACCCCCTATTTGGAATATGCCACTTCAATCCTAAGAAAGTACTTGAGTTTGCCCTATTCCTTGATTTCGAACTCTCAAGCTAGTTGGGTTTTTAGTCTCTTCATCTCCTTTTCATCATTCCCAGTGACAATAATGTCATCAAAATACACTAGAAGCATAGTAATTTTGTCTTCTTTCAAGTGTTTGTGTAACGCCCTCAATCCCACATTAGAAGAATGTGTAGATAAGGAATGATATATATGTAGAAATCTAAACCCAACCTTATGAGGCAACTTTTGTGGGACAAAACCGTGAAACCTTCAAGTCAAAGTGGACAATACCTCGCAAGTTAGGTGCAAGTCTCCATAGTTTGATAAATAAAATGTGATCACCTTGACTCTATCTATAGCCAAATCTCACCATTGCTTTAGTTAACCTTTCAAACCACGCCCTTGGTGATTGTTTTAACCTGTACAAGGCCTTTTTGAACTTAAAGACTTTATTAGGACCAAACTCTTCCTCAAATCCTGGTGAGGGTTCCATGTACACTGCTTCCAAATCTCCATTGTATCAAATTGTTGGAGTTCCCATTCAAAATGAATAGCAAGGGACAATAGAATTCTTACTGTATTCATGTTTGCTACTGGAGCAAAGGTTTCTCGATAGTCTATCCCATAAGTCGATGTATAGCCTTTCGCAACTAACCTTGCTTTATATCTCTCAAGAGTTCTATGTGATTTAAACTTCATAGTATAAATCCACTTGCAAACAATTGTTCTCTTGCCTTTAAGACATGAAACAATGTTCCAAGTATTATTATTTTCCAAGGCCCTCATCTCTTCCCTCATTGCACGTCCAATTTTTGTCTCCTAAAGCTTCTTGTACTGTTTTTTGGAATTTCAAATGTGTGGGAAAACATTTAGTTACAAGTGGTTGTATTTTGTAATCTGTTGATTGTAATCTGTATATATCTGTATCCCTAAAATTGAGAATTTGTATCTCTAGAATTAAGGACAGAATATCAGGATAGACAATTCCTTGATTTGTAAGGATTAGATTTAGGAATATTTAGTTTCCTAGTTTACTCTCTAGTTAGTTGTTTTTAAATCTATGGTGTTTGTATGATTCGTAACACAAGTTTTCAATATACTCTCATTTTTTCCACATGGTATCAGAGCTTTAGACTCTTATTGGGAAGAAAATTTCTCAGCCTTCATTGCCGAATTTTTTTTTTAGGCCTTCATAGCCAAATTTTGTTAAATCTATCATACTTTTATTTTGTTCCTTTTTGGCCTTCATTGCCTATACTTGTTTCAGTCCTGAGAAAGGTAATCATGTCATAAATAGCAGAATCTGCCGCTACTACTCGATTTGGAGAAGTAACAACTGGTCAAACCACAGTGAAACTATAGAATATCCAAGCTGCATACAGGTTGAATGGAAAGAACTACTTGAAGTGGTCTCAGTTGGTTCAAACCTTTCTAAAAGGGAAAGGAAAATTGAGCCATCTTCTTGGCACTGGTCCTGAGAAAGGAGATCCAAAATTTGAGGCTTGGGATGAAGAGGATTCTATGGTTATGTCATGGCTGTGGAATTCTATGACGCCAGATATTAGTGACACTTATATGTTTTTGTCCACGGCCAAAGACATTTGGGAATCAATTCGTCAAACCTATTCCAAAGTTAAAGATGCTGCTCAAGTCTATGAGGTCAAGATCAAGACTGCAGCTCTCAAACAAGGGAATAAGTCAGTCACAGAGTATGCTATTCTTCTTAAAAATCTTTGGCAAGAGATGGATCACTATCGGTGCATAGAAATGAAATGCAGTGAAGATGCAACAACTTTGAAGAAATTTATTGAAAAAGATCGAGTCTATGATTTTCTTGCTGGACTGAATGTTGAGTTTGATCAAGTCAGAGTCCAAATTCTAGGAAAACAAGATCTGCCTTCTTTAAATGAAGTGATATCCATGGTTAGAGCAGAAGAGGAGTGATGCTTGACAGTGTGCATGTAGAAGGATCTGCTATGGTCTCTAATGGTGGGAAGAACCAAAGCTTAGAACAATTACCAGTCAGTGAGAATGGGAAAGGTGATTCGGCTAAAACTTCAAATCGTGACAATCTTTGGTGCACCTATTGCAAGAAGCCAAGGCACACCAGAGATCGTTGCTGGAAACTACATGGAAAACCTTCAACTTCAAGCAAAGAATGGGGTTATAAAGGAGGACAGCCAAGAAATCAAGGACAAGCTCACGTGACTGCAATGGAGTTAAGCCAGGAGAAGTCTCAGAAACAAGGAGAGTTGGATAAAAAAGAGATTGAGAAACTGCGAAGCCTATTGGGAACTCTTGAAAAGGCTACTGTGTATGCTCCTTGCCACTCAGGTAAGGACTCTGGTGCAGGTAAAGTCTCTAATTCTCATGGATTAAATGTCTCAGATAAATGCATTAAGAGTTCTTAGGTCATTGACTCAGGAGCCACAAACCACATGACACATTCTTCACAAAAGTTTAGTACATATACCCTATGTCCTGGTACTAAGAAAATTACTGTTGCAGATGGTTCACTTACTACAGTGGCAAGATTAGGAGATGTTCAAATTAATCCCTCATTCATTCTTAAAAATGTTCTTCATGTTCCTAGATTGTCTACTAATATGATATCTATACAAAGACTTACTAGAGACATGAATTGCAATGTGACTTTTTATCCCTCTTACTGTGAATTTCAGGACCAGGGTTCAGGGAAGAAGATTGGACTTGCTAAGGAGAAGGATGGACTATACTATCTTGAGACATCCAACAACATAAGCAATATCAAGAATAGTTTACCTTTGTCATTTCTTTCTGAACAATCTTCCAATAAAGACAAAATCTGGCTTTATCATTTTCGTCTCGGACCCCCTTTTTTTGGAACTTTGAAAAACATGTTTCCTTCTTTGTTCAAAGGATTAAACGTTGAAGAGTTTCATTGTGATGTTTGTGAACTTGCAAAACACAGACGTGTATCTTTTCCAATTAGTAACAAAAGAAGTTCTACTCCCTTTTACTTGATTCATAGTGACATTTGGGGTGCCTCTACAGTTCCTAATATTTCTGGGGCAAGATGGGTTGTGTCATTCATAGATCACTGTACCAGGGTTTCTTGAGTTTTTTTACTTAAATCCAAATTAGATGTGAATAGTGTGTTTTTTAGCTTCCAAAACATGATCCAAAATCAATTTGGAGTGAGAATCAAGAGATTTAGGTCTGATAATGCAAGAGACTATTTCAACCAGAGTCTATCCACCTATATCCAAAATGAGAGGATTATCCATGAGTCATCTTGTGTTAATACTCCACAGCAAAATGGAGTGGCAAAGAGAAAAAACAGCCATTTACTAGCCACAACCCTAGCCTTCCTTTTTCAAGCAAATGTGCCTAAATCTTACTGGGGGGAAGCTGTTCTCACTGCTACACACATTATAAATAGGTTACCTTCAAAGGTTTTGGGATTTAAAACTCCTATGGAACTACTCTCACAATTCTATCCCAACCTTAATACCACAAACAACCTCGCACCTAGGATATTCGGTTGTACATCATTTGTTCATGTTCACAGTCATAATAGGGGAAAGTTGGATCCGAGAGCAATTAGGTGTATCTTTGTGGGGTATTCATCAACTCAGAAAGGGTATAAGTGCTATCATCCTCCTACCAAAAAGTTCTGTGTGTCTGCAGATGTCACTTTTGAAGAAAGTAAACCATTTTTTACTCAACCTTATCTTCAGGGGGAGACATCATTTATAGAAGATAAGGATAAAGACTTCTTTTTGCTTGACTTGTCATCCTCCTCCAAAACAGTTTTCACCCATTAATTCTTTTGAGCCTAAACCCATTTCTTCAGAGTCCAAGTCAAACACTGATTCTAAATCTGAACCCATTCCAAACATAGAAGTTGTGACTAAGGATAATACTATTCTTGATTCTGTGAAAGAATTACAGGTGTACTCAAGAAAGAAAGTTCCAGTTCCTGAACCAGTGCAAATCCAAGAACCTGATCCTAACTCTGGAAATGAGGTAATTACAGTCTCTAATTCTATTTCTCAAAAATGAGCATGACTCTCCTAAAATTAGTGATTATGATCTACCTATTGCCATTAGGAAAGGAACTACAGAATGTACTAAACATCCATTATACCCAATTTCTAATTTTGTGTCATTTGAAAAGTTTTCACCATCCCATAAGAATTTTCCTGTGAGCCTAAATACTATTTTTATTCCAACTACATTATCTGAGGCATTATCTAATGAGAAATGGAGGCAGGCGATGAAAATAGAAATGGAGGCCTTAGAGAAAAATAAGATATGGGAGCTGGTAGAGTTACCTGCAGGAAAACATCCAGTTGGGTGTAAATGGGTTTTCACTATAAAGTATAAGGCAGATGGTACTATTGAAAGATACAAGGCCAGGCTGGTGGCTAAAGGCTACACTCAAACTTATGGAGTGGATTATCAGGAAACTTTTGCTCCAGTTGCCAATATGAATACAGTTAGGATTTTATTATCCTTGGCAGCAAATTACAATTGGCAGCTTCAACAATTTGATGTAAAGAATGCCTTTTTACATGGTGATTTGGAAGAAGAAATATATATGAAAGTTCCACCGAGATTTGGTGGTCATCTAGAAGTAAAAAAGGTATGCAAGCTGAAAAAGGCTTGATATGGCCTTAAACAGTCTCCTAGGGCCTGGTTCGGGAGATTTGCCAAAGTGATGCTAGGAATGGAATATAAACAGTGTCAAGGGGATCACACATTGTTTATCAAGCACTCAGATTCAGGGAAGGTCACAGTTCTATTAGTATATGTTGATGATATAATTGTAATTGGAGATGATGAAAAAGAAAGAGAGTCTCTAAAACAGTGTTTGGCCAGAGAATTCGAGATAAAAGAGCTAGGGAGATTGAAGTACTTCCTAGGAATTGAAGTAGCCCACTCACGTCATGGTATTTTTATCTCACAACAGAAATATGTTATGGATCTTTTGAAGAAAACTGGGAAGCTCGCATGTAAACCTACAAGTACCCCTATAGATCCCAATCATAAGCTTGGAGAAGCTAATGAAGATGCTGCTGTAGATAAGGGGATGTACCGGAGATTAGTTGGAAGACTTATTTATCTCTCACATACTAGACCTGACATAGCATATGCTGTGAGTGTGATAAGTCAATTTATGCATAGTCCTAAAGAAGTACACCTACAGGCTGTCTACCGTGTACTACACTATTTGAAGGCTAATCCTGGGAGAGGTATCTTGTTTAAAAAAAATTCAGGGTTGGTACTAGAGGCATATACAGATGCTGATTATGTAGGTTCAGTAACCGACAAAAGATCTACCTCAGGCTACTGTACTTTTCTAGGTGGTAATCTTGTAACTTGGAGGAGTAAAAAACAGAATGTGGTGGCAAGATCAAGTGCTGAAGCAGAGTTTAGGGCAATGGCTCAAGGAATTTGTGAACTACTATGGTTAAAGATTATTCTAGAAGACTTGAAGATCAAATGGGATGGACCAATGAGAGTTTACTGTGATAACAAATCTGCAATAAGCATTGCACACAATCCTGTGCAACATGACAGAACAAAACACATTGAAGTAGACCGGCACTTCATAAAGGAAAAACTAGACAGTGGATTGATTTGCACCCCATATGTATCAACTAAGGGTCAACTTGCAGATGTGCTGACTAAAGGTCTCAACAGTGCAATATTTCAGGAAATTATTTCCAAACTGGGAATGAAAAACACCTATTCACCAGCTTGAGGGGGAGTGTGGGAAAACATTTAGTTACAAGTGGTTGTATTTTGTAATCTGTTGATTGTAATATGTATATATCTGTATCCCTAAAATTGAAAATTTGTATCTCTAGAATTAAGGACAAAATATCAGGATAGACAATTCTTTGATTATAAGGATTAGATTTAGGAATATTTAGTTTCCTAGTTTACTCTCTAGTTAGTTGTATTTAAATCTATGGTGTTTGTATGATTCGTAACACAAGTTTTCAATATACTCTCATTTTTTCCACAACTCTCATTTTTTCCACAAAATGAATTCAAGAGAAAGAGAAAGCTATTGTGTCACGTGGAGAGATAATGTGACAAAATAAAGTTGGATATGGGATGTTGGGTGCACTTTCGTCTCCCTTTTCTCAAGGCTATGGGAAGGTCAAGGTCACTCTCTAGGATAGGCTGGTTATCACATGAAACAGAATCATTAGCTTCAAAAACAGGTATATTTAAAATGCCTTCATTACCTGCACTCAAGTTAGGCTCATGGATCTATTTTGATACTTGTGAGGGCTTTACTCTCCTTGAATATTGTTGTCGTTGCTTCATGGGAGCTTCTAAAAGCTGGTTTTTTGGATCCACACTAGGTTCAAGGCTCTGTAAGTTTGAACATTCTACAGGAACGATCTCGATTTCATTTGCTAAAGGTAGAACTTCTACTGGAATGGTCTCAGTTTCAATGTTTTCAATAGCTATTATAGGTTTTGATATTTGAATTTTCATCAGAATAGGTACATGAGAAACTTTGCAGAAAAGATGTAAAACCTGAGCACGCATCTTCCTGAATTAGTTCTCCCCCTGAAGATGAGTAGGAAAGGCATGTAGAATGGTTCACTTTCTTGGAATGTAATATCCATGGATACAAAGATTCGATAGGTAGAAGGATCATAACTTTGAGTGGTGGAATAACCAATGAAGACACATTTTTTAGCACGAGGATCTAACTTAGACCAGTTGGTTTTGTGAATGTGTAAGTAGGCTATGGAACCAAAAACTTTTAAGGAAAGACTTCGAAGGGAGACAGAATCAAGAAAGTGTTTGAATAGGGTGGATAAAGGGCTCTTATTTCCCAAAACTTTTGAAGGAAGTCAATTGATGAGATAAGCAACTGCAACGACTGCTTCACCCTAAAGAAATTTTGGGACATTTGATTGGAATAACAGGGCACGAGTTACTTCTAAAAGGTGGCGATTTTTTTGCTCAACAACCCCATTTTGTAGAAAACCGATTCTTAACCAGATTTGATTAGGTGTCATTCATTTAGGATTTTAGTTGTTTCCTAAATAAAAGGGATTTGGTTCATTGACCAAATTCCTACTTGGTACTAGCCATTTATTGTTAGAGGATTTTTAGATGATTTATTATTACCTCTAAGATATAATGGGATTTGTCAGATTTGATGTTTTAGCTATATATATATATACTCTATAAAGTTTTTTAAGAATTCATAAAATAAAATTCTCATGAATTCTTCATGGTATGAGAGCGTTCATCCTAAATTATCAAAACCTATATATATATATATAT